TGACAGACTCATTAATTTTTTTTTTTTTTTTTTTTTGCGTTCTTAATCTGTGTTGTGATGGAAGAAACCCTTTATTTTGTGGGTGAAATCTCAGTTTTAGCGTTTAGAATCTGTAGTGTGATTGGAACCCTTTATTTTGTTTGTGAAATCTGAGAGCTTTGTTGGTTTGGTTTGGTTTGGAAGTGGATTGGATGATTAGAATTTGGTTGTTTTTGTGCTGTGTTCTTGAGGTTTTGGGATGGATTTAAGTTTGAATCACTATGTTAAATCATTCTTTGCGATAGGGATAGGATGCAGAGTTATGAGGAAACGTGGTTAATGTCCACTCTGCTTCGTGCTCTTTACCTGTTTGTTAAAATGCCTCACACAAACCTGCACTTAAGTTTTGGGCACAAGATGGGTTTAGTAGATTTACAATTCATAGGATGATTTTAGGAGGTTCCGTCTCACAATTGCACTCTTTCTAGTAACGGGACAGCGAGTGTGCGACACTTGTTTTACCTTAGAGAACAAGTCAGTCGTGTAAAATCGAACTTCGCGGACAATTTGGATGTATGGTCAAGCATCTAGTCACATTCTTGAGAGAGAATGTTTTATAAAACGGGAGCGAGAAAAAAAGAAGATCGTCACTGCATGCTTGACATGACTACTATGCATAGAAAAATTCATTTGAAACATCTCATAAACTATATCATGACTTAAACGTTTGTAAATTTCATTTCAATTAAGAATAAACATCAATGAAATAGCGAAATTGAAATAACAATGTCACCAATCTGATTCGATGTAGAATGCTAAAGGGTCCTATAAACTGTTGGCTTGGTTTTTCCTTTCGTCCAACCGTCAAAGTACACCTTTCATCGAGGACAACTCAAGAATACCTTGTCGCCTACTTTAAACTCCAGTTTCTACACTTCGCGTCGGTCTGTTTACTCCGAGTCGTATGCATTTTTTCTTTGATCTTTTGCACAGTCTCATTGGTGACTTGGACTAACTCTGGTCCCAATAGTTCACAGTCCCACCTATTTCTTGTAGGGTTTAGACATTATCCAAAGTAACATGTGTAAGCTTGCGACTGCAACAACTCACCAGTACTAAATGCTCGTGTGACCTTTTGTTATCTTAGGTAAACCTAGAACCTTTATATAATCATGAAGAAGACATGTGACAAATTTTTTTTTTTTTTTTTTTTGTAATCGACCAACATTTGTCTTCTAATTTCTAATTAATCACTAATATAATTTTATCATTAATTATGAATAATAACAAGCTACCTGTGATTTGCTTAAATTTCTCACTCAACAAACATTATAATTACAAGCACAATGATGATTAAACATAGTTTAGAGATTAGTGATGCTTCAACTATAATCTTCTACTGTCTTCTTATGGCTACTATCATAAGCTATCATTGTTAAAAAGAAAATGATATCATATCCTTTTGAGAACTTGTAATTAGAAAGAAAAATGTTTAACTTAATTTGGTTGAAGGGACTCAAAGAGTTAAATGTGAGATGAACGGGATTCAATCGAGTTAGCCTAACATCCTTCAATCGTGATATATACCTTAATCAATTGAATAATGTTCTTAACCGAAAGGTATATAGGAATCCTAATCCAAACATAGAATAAGAGGTAATCAAATGTTAAACTACCATCCAACTAAAGTAAAGCTTCATTTCATTTCACAGGAGATCGAGCTCGGTTCCAACGAACTGAACCAATCGACCAGCCAATCATAGCTGAACCCAACCAAAGCTGGTCGATTGGGTTCGGCCTAACTCTTGCTCTGTTGATCGATTTGGTTCAGTCAGTTCACATCCCCAACGAATTGCAATGGATAAGCCTCCCATTGCATAGGAGATCGAGCTCGGTTCCAATGAACTGGACCAATGGACCAGCCAATTATAGCTGAACCAAACCAAAGCTGGTTGTTGATTGGGTTCGACCTAATTCTTGCTCTGTTGCTCGATTTGGTTCAGTCAGTCAAACCAATCAATTCAGCTGGATCATCAAAGAACCAGTTCACACCCCCCAACAAATTGCAATGGACAAGTCTCCCATTGCACAGGAGATCGAGCTCGGTTCTAACGAACTGAACCAATGGACCAGCCTATCATAGCTGAACCAAACTAGAGCTGGTCGATTTGGTTCGGCCTAATTCTTGCTCTGTTGATCGATTTGGTTCATTCAGTTAAACCAATCGATTCAGCTGGATCATCGAAGAACTGAATTGAACCAGTTCACACCCCAACAAATTGCAATGGACAAGCCTCCCATTGCACAGGAGATTGAGCTCAGTTCCAACGAACTGGACCAATGGACCAGCCTATCACAGCTGAACCAAACCAGAGTTGGTCAATTTGGTTCAGCCTAATTCTTGCTCGGTTGATCGATTTGGTTCAGTCAGTCAAACCAATCGATTCAGCTGGATCATCTAAGAACTGAATCGAACCAGTTCGCAATGGACAATTCTCCCATTGCGCAGAACATGAGTATTCTGTATAGCATATGAAGGTAAAACCAGGGGCAATTATACACAAACAAATGAAAAAATGCAGATTCAATAACCAATCTACAATATGCACTTCCAGTCATTCGTCCAGATGAATACTACTTCTAACATCAAAACAAAAATACATTTGCCTAATGATCATCTCAATAATTACAAACTGAGAAGGAAAAACAGCAACCGTTATAAAAGGAAGAACAAAAACAGCAACCGTCACGTTCCCTCCCGGCCGAAATTCTACCCTAAATGATCTCACTCATTTATGCTGCAAAACCCTTACTCCCTTAGAAGTAAAAAAAAATTATCAGCTAAGCTAGAATTTTCAAAGGGGCATCATCAATTTCAAGTTCTCAGCTCAATGCATCAGAATCTTCATTCCTTTTCAATGGTTGAGTTCATGGAAGTCAGTCAATATGACAACAAAGCCCAAACAAAACGAGGTAATTAAGAAACTAATTAAATGATAAAATAAAAACAGTAAGCGTTGGACCTCTGCAACTTCATACCCGATGAAAGAAAGTATCTAAGTACTCTTAGATTTCGGTTTCTTCAAACGTTTGACGGGCAAGCTTCTTACACCTTTCTTAGCCCTCATTGCAACAGCTCTCCTTTTTGTTCTTTTAGTTGTGGCAGGAAATTCCAAGATAGGACCTGGAGGTATTCCTTTCTTAAGGGCACTTCCTCTCGGAGTAACGGTGGGGGGCAGTCTCAAACTTTCCGGTGGCAACGGATTATGGGGTTTCCATACCAAGTTATTTTTCATGGAAAATCTTACCTTCTTTACACTATTCTCTCCACTTTTTGCAACTGTATTTCCTTCAGTGTCAACTTGATTAGGAAGTACTACATCATGTGTGTGCTGCACATCGACCTTCTTCGCTCTCTTTCTTTTCTTGACTGAGCCATTGGCTGATATTACAGGGCTCATATCATTGTCTCCAAACTCAGCTTCAGCAGCAACCCTCTCGAATTGCATCTGAAGGTTCGATATCACAGATTCATCAAACGTTATCATATTTCCATCACTAATCTGTTCATTATTAGAATTCTCACCGTTAGCAACAACTATATTCTCATCGTCCTTATTCATATGAGTATTGTTAGAAACAAGATCAGAAATACCGTTCGTGTTCTTCGCCTTCTTAGCCTTCTTCTTGCCACTGCCATCGGAGGCCTTTTTAGTCTTCTTTTTCTTTTTAAGTGCCTTATCAGTGATTTCATTGTTAACATCAACATCAGCCATGGAAATTTCTTCACCGGAAATAGGAACCAAAGTAGGCACTTCATCCCCATCTTGCTCTTGAAGATCTGGCATGGAAATCTCAATCCCCGACGAGATAAAACTTTTCTCCAATTTCTGATACTCTTCGTGCATCGCAAACAGTACCTTTCTATTCGATTGACAACAATCAGGTGAAGAACCCAATTCATAAAATGTAGAGGAGAAAAGGTTTGTCAATGGAATTGTCCCATACACAACTATATCATCATCAGAGTTGATCTCTCCACATTTTCGACGCTCGATCAATTGCTTCCCCATTTTAAGTAACACATCAAAAAGATTAGACTTAATTTTTCCCAACATAACTTTATCAGACAATTTAGCCATGGACAAAATGAATGGCTTGAACAGGATATCAATAACATCCTTCCCAAGAGGAAGAAACGGCCTAAGTTCTTCAAGAAACACAGAAGCAATTTGATAATTAACACCATTCCCATGAAACTTATCATCAGTGAAAAACACCCTTTCTTCCAAAACTTGAACTAAACGACGACACAGTTCCAAATCCCAAGAATTCTTCTTCAACAAAGCAAAAAACTGGTGCATAAATCTACGAATCAAAAGGTAAAACTTATCTAACCTAAGCGCATCAATGCCAGCCCATTCACGACGCATGGTGAGAAGAAAAATAGAAAAGTACTGAAAAGCAAGCGGCAATTCGAGATTTAGGAGCAAAGAAGCAAGGCGATTAATAAGCTCGGTTTGAACAGGAAGCTTATCGGCATGCCAAACACAGTAGAACAAACCCTTCCAAAGCTTCTTCATATCGCCATCGGAGATGCTCGTTTGAGTGGGAAGCCATGTCTTGATGATTACACGAAGGGTTTTATCCCGAGTCGCCTTGTTGGAGGACGCCAAAAGCTTAATCAATGAAGTGAAATCTTGATCTCCTTCAACCACCTCCATTTTTTTACAGAAAAAGCTTGCTCGTTCGCTTTCAGATTCAGAAAAGAGGAAGAAATCTGAATAGAGACGCCGAATTAGGTTGAAAAACGAGATTGGTGTAAGGAAAAAGGATCGATTTCGATGAAATTAGAGCTTCCCAATTCCCAGAAGGCCGAACAGCGGCGTTTTGAGAGAACCCTAGATGTTAATTGGGGCCTGGCGGAGGTAGTTAAGAATTTCATAATTAGGTTAGAAATTGGTAAGTTATTTTCTAAACTTTAAATTTATATATTTTAAAATATTTTTTAAATTTTTAAATAAATTATTAAATTTTTAACTTCGTCCCAAATCTAAAAAACTTTGAACCAATCCAACCCGAAATGTTAGATAGCATTTTAGATTGGGTTGGGTTTATTTTTTTAGAACCGTCTTCGAGTTAATTGGATAAAGGTTTGAGTCAACATGAACCGAACTGGTCCAATTTTTTTTAATACATTAATGGACAAAAATTAAGCCTCGTCCCTCTAGATACTGACGCAACTCCTCGTCACTCATTATTGCTCTCTCCCTTGACGTCACCCATGTTGCTAGGTGTCACAATTGCGTTCTTGATGGCATCGGACTTGCGATTGTGCAACACTCATTTTCCAACGACAAGTGAGCTAAGTCAATTCGTTCTTACGTCGCCTACGGCCGAGCGACGTATGCTCGAGCCTCTGGCCTCGGTTTAAGAGAAGGTTTTAGAAACGAGGGCAGAGAGAGATTTTCAAAAAAGAGATTTTTGAAAGAGACGTTATATAAGCAAGCAAGAGAGTAACAACAACGACTTACAGTATATAACTTTGGGTAGGGAGAAGTTGACTAGTCATATCCCCTACAGTACATTATGAGCCATTTCATGTCTGGCAAGCCTAGACATGATTTTTCCAAAACGTCAGATTTTTCCAAAACGTCATACTCCCTATAAATACAAGAGTAAAACACTAGAACATGGAAAAACATAAAGGGTTTGGATTGTCATGGGCATGTGCCCATGGGCAACACGCCTTGGACGAGCATGACCGTGAACAAAATTATAATATAATGTTCTAGACATGACCGTGAACTAATTTTCGGGCCTAGACATGTCTATGGGGCAAAGCGGGTCAGGGAAGCCTTTCTCGTCCCCGTTGCCTTTTCATTCTCCACTCCTAGCAAAATTTTTCATTTATTTTTGTGGGGATCAGAGCGGAAAATCTCCACAAGGAATGCTCAGGATGAGGATGTAAATAAAAATCTAATACAATAAACAAAATTATAATATAATGTTCTATGAACGTAAATTTCATAATCTCATAACCTTAGATGTTGTAATATATAAGTATTACCATCCTGTCCCTGCCCTTAGTTCTACTAAACCCGAACCTATTAAATTCAGACATGACCGTTACATATTAAGTTAAGGCACAACAAAACATTTAATTTGTTTAATAACTACCTTAAAACTTTGAAAGTTAATTCTGGATTTTATATCGTTTCTACACTGAAGTAGAAAATTTATTAGAATATTTGAAAGTTAATTCCAACCAACATCAATAAGAATCCTTTATTGTTATGCTTCTAAACCAACTCCACTAAACATGTGCAAATCGTTTATCTTCAAATCAGAAAACGATTAAAAAAACAAGAAAGCAATGTTGATCGAAGAAGATTTTCGATTCAAATTTCCAATGTTCATCGGATCAACGCCATGAACACAAGACAAACATTCGCGGGTTTCTCCAAATTCAAAGGCTGTTGTTCTTCATTCAAACCTTTCTTCCTCCTCTAATGGCGTTTTTCTCTCTACCCATCTATCGTTTCGCCTTCGCCTCCATTTCCGTCCTCCTCTTCCTCTGTTTCTTCATCTTCTCCAGACGAAAAACAGATGTTTCCCTCTCTATCTACCAAGATCTCTCTTCCCAATCCCCATTCACCGTCTCTCTCTCTCCTCCCCCTCCTCCGATCATTCCTCCGATCATTCCTCCTCCTTCAATGGCCGAACCCCAGATCCCTTTTCCCGATTCTGGGTCCGATTCCTCTGTTATTGAGCCCTTAACGAGCCCATCTGTCCAAGAAACAGAGGTTTCTAATGGCAAAAATGGGTCGGTGGCTAAAGGTAAAGCTGCTACTGGTTCTTTGGCGGCTCGTAATGGTGCTGACTTGTTAAGGGAGGGATTGAAGCATTGTGATCTTTACATGGGGAGCTGGGTTAAAGACGAGAAGCATCATCCAGTTTATAGAGTGGGTTCTTGCCCTTATGTTGATGAGGCTTATGATTGTGGGAACAATGGGAGGGCTGATTCTGAGTATACCAAATGGCGATGGAAGCCTTATGGCTGTGATCTTCCCAGGTATATATATCTATTGTTGATGAATCTAATGGCCTCTTTATCTCATTCTATTGGATTTGCATGTATCTATATGAATAATAAAAGGTTTAGAGAGGGTGATTCAGGTCGTGGTAGCCTAAGATTTAGTATCTTTCGTATTATCTTACATGTTGAATCAAGTAGAATCAAACGATTGTCTCGTGAGAATGATTGAGGGAAGGTGTTTTCCGTTAGAGCTGTAGCTTGATCATGAGTTTGTGGAGGTATTAACCTCGTTGGCATGGTAAAAGCCTCATGTATTGGCCAGGCAATGTCTTAATTTATCTGGGGTGGGATTCCATATCTGTTGGGGGAGGAGAATGAAGCATTCTTTATAAAGGTGTGGAGACATCTCCCTAGCAAACGCGTTTTCAAAACCTTGAGGGTAAGCCTAAAGAGCAATATCTAACGGTGAATTTGAATTGTTATAGTTAGTATTAGAGCTAGACATCGGGCGATGTACCAATGAGAAGGCTGAGCCTCGAAGGGTGTTCCTTTATCTCTTGAGAATTGTGGGATCTTGTTATTCATTTTGTTGCTTCCCTTGGAGTAGTCATTGTGTGTGTGTGAGAGAGATTTCTTATTTGGTTGTTGGATGACTTACTGTGAGATCCCACATCAGTTGGAGAGAGGAACGAAACATTCCTTATAAGGGAGTGAAAACCTCTTTCTAGTAGACACGTTTTAAAACTGTGAGGCTGACGACGATAAGTAACGGGCCAAAGAGGACAATATTTGCTAGCGGTGGGCTAGGGCTATTGTTACAAATGGTATCAAAGCCAGACACCGAACAGTGTACCAGCGAGGACACTGGACCCCCAAGAGGGGTGGATTGTGAGATCCCACATTGGTTGAAGAGGGCAACAAAGCATTTCTTATAAGGATGTGGAAACCTCTCCCCACCAGACGCATTTTAAAACCGTGAAGTTGACGACGATACGTAACGGGTCAAAGCGGACAATATTTGCTAGCGGTGGACTTGGGCTCTTACAAATGGTATCAGGGTTAGGCACCGAATGGTGTGTCAACGAGGACGTTAGGCCCCTAAGGAGAGTGGATTCTGAGATCCCACATTGGTTGGAGAGGAGAACGAAACATTTCTTATAAAAACGGTGTGCCAGCGAGGACGTTGGACCCCGTGGATTGTGAGATCCCACATTGGTTGAAGAGGGGAACAAAGAATTCCTTATAAGGGTGTGGAAACCTCTCCCTAGCAGACGCGTTTTAAAACCATAAGGCTAATGGCAATACGTAACGAACCGAAATGGGACGATATCTACTAGCGATGAGCTTGGACTGTTACAATTACTTCCCTCCACTGATTTTGTATCTATGTTTGTTTGTCTGAATCTTAAAATGAGCCATTGAGTATTTACACAAGTGTAGATTTTACATGTCTACTAACAAAAGTATCATGTTTTCACATGTAGCTCAGATTTAATGCCACAGACTTTTTGGTGAGACTGAAAGGGAAACGATTGATGCTTGTCGGAGATTCTATGAACCGAAACCAGTTCGAGTCGATCCTTTGTCTCCTAAGAGAAGGCCTTCGAGATAAGAAGAGAATGTTTGAGACCCATGGCTATAAAATATCTAAGGGAAGGGGTTACTTTGTCTTCAAATTTAAGGTAATCAAGTTCATTTTAAGTCTTTGCTGCTTCTGTTTAGTAAATGGCTAAGTTAAGAAACGTCTGGCAGGATTATGGCTGTACTGTGGAGTTTGTGAGATCACATTTTCTCGTGAGGGAAGGAATTCGTATAAATGCTCAAGGAAACTCGAACCCGACTCTATCGATTGATCGAATCGATAAAACTTCTGGGCGCTGGAAGCGAGCTGATATTCTTGTGTTCAATACTGCTCATTGGTGGACTCATGGAAAGACTGCTCGAGGGTAAGCATTTATCTTGGATTCTGTTGGATTTTACCTTAAATTATCGTTGGATACTGTGGCGAACGAACTGATAAACAAAAAGCTCTCCTCCCCGACCCAAACTGAAACTCTTAAATCGAAGAAAGGAGAGACGAAATGTGAGATTCTATATTGGTTGGAGAGGGGAACGAAACATTCCTTATAAGGGTGTGGAAACCTCTCCCTAGTGGATGCGTTTTAGAATCTTGAGGGGAAGTCCGGGAGGGAAATCCCAAAGAGGACGATATTTGCTAACAGTGGACTTGGGCTATTACAAATGGTATCAGAGCCAGTTACTGGACGATGCGAGGCACGGGTGGGAGTAGGGTTAGACCCTCTCTATAGTAGACGCGTTTTAAAAACCGTGAGGCTGACAATGATACGTAATGAGCTAAAATGGACTATATCTGTTAGTGGTAGACTTGGGCTGTTACAAATGGTATCAGAGCCAGACATTGCGCGGTGTGTCAACGAGGACGTTGGGCTCCCAAGGGAGGGTGGATTATGAGATCCCACATCGGTTGGGGAAGGGAACGAAGCATTCCTTATAAGGGTGTGGAAACCTCTCTCTAGTGGACGTGTTTTAAAATCTTGAGGGGAAGCTATGGAGGGAAAGCCCAAAGAGGACAATATCTACTAGCGGTAGGCTTGGGCGGTTACATATGGTATCAGAGTCAATCACCATACGGTGTGAGGCACTGATCGGATTAGGGTTAGACCTTCTCCATAGTAGACGCATTTTAAAAACTGTGAGGCTGATGGTGATACGTAACGGGCCAAAACGGACTATATCAGTTAGCGGTGGGCTTGTGCTGTTACAAATTGTATTAGAGGCAGACATTGGGCGGTGTGCCAGCGAGGATGCTAGCCCCCAAGGGGGATGGATTGTGAGATCCCACATTGATTGGAGAGGGGAACGAAGCATTCCTTATAAGAGTGTGGAAACATCTCTCTAGTGGACGCATTTTAAAATCTTAAGGGGAAGCCCAGAAGGAAAAGCCAAAGTAGGACAATATTTGCTAACGGTGGACTTGGGTTATTACACAAAACATCCGTCGTCTCCCTATCGAATAATGCATGACGAAACTTGAATGAAAAAGAAAATAGCTCCGAGAAAAGGACAACCAGCCACGAGACGATTTCTCATAGAAGACAAGTGTTATAAACAAGGAGGCATATAGCAAACAGGCAATCCCCCACCTACCTATCTTAAGAGAAATGCTTTTCCTTACCATTTCCCACCTCACATTGAACTAAATCAGTAAAAGAGAGAGCTCCAAACATTTCTTATTTCTATTTATAGATATCTACCGCTACTGTGTGGGAGCGATCCTAGCGGGCTTCCCCTCAAGGCTTTAAAACGCGTCTGCTAGGGGAAGGTTTCCACACCCTTATAAAGGGTGTTTTGTTCTCCTCCCCAACCAATGTGGGACATCACAATCCACCCCCTCTTCGGGGCCCAGCGTCCTTGCTGGCACTCGTTCCTTTCTCCAATCGATGTAGGATCGCCACCAAATCCATCCCCCTTTGGGGCCCAGCGTTCTTACTGACACACTGTCTCGTGTCTATCCCTTTTGGGGAACAGTGAGAAGGCTGGCACATCGTCCGGTGTCTGGCTCTGATACCATTTGTAACGACCCAGACTCACCGCTAGTAGATATTGTCTTCGTTGGGCTTTTCCTTTTGGGCTTCCCTTCAAGGCTTTAAAATGCGTCTACTAGGGAAAGGTTTCCACACCCTTATAAAGGGTGTTTTGTTCTCCTCCCCAACCAATGTGGGACATCACATCACATATGGGTAGCAAGAGGGCGCTTATGCCCCGATGCTGGGGCCTTATGGGGAAGGGCCCAACCCAATAGGGACAACACACCCCACTGCAAGCACACCTCTAATATTGACTTTTTCACTCTTTCTAGTCGGTGGAACCAGTAACACGTGAGTAAGCTAGATGCGTGGGGCAGAGGGCTCGTAGTACTCCCTTTTCTTCGCATCTCGATAAAAAATAAACTTCTTCTTTAGTGTAGCTTACTCGTACTAATACAATTTAATGATACAGGATAAACTATTATAAAGAAGGTAACGTTCTTTACCAGAAGTTCGATGCTGTCGAGGCATACAGACGAGCGCTCAAGACGTGGGGAAACTGGATCGATCGTAATATAAATCCAGCCAAGCAATTGGTCTTCTATAGAGGATATTCTTCAGCTCATTTCAGGTGAAAATTTTGTTCCTCTTTTGTTGAAAACAGCTTTGGATAGCCATAGATGTCTGATGAAATGATGTAACAGAGGTGGAGATTGGGATTCAGGAGGATCATGCAATGGTGAAACTGAGCCAGTCTTAACTGGTGCCATCCTCAACAACTATCCTTTGAAAATGAAGATAGTCGAGGAAACGATCAAGCGAATGAAGGTACCCGTCATACTTTTGAACGTTACGAGGCTAACCAATTTTCGCAAGGATGCTCATCCATCGATCTATGGTAAGAATCGGACCGCTACGAAGAAGGTTTCAAAGAGACGGCAGGACTGCAGCCATTGGTGTCTCCCCGGAGTTCCCGACGCATGGAATGAACTTATCTATGCCTCTCTGATCTCTTGGTCGAAAAAATCTAAGTCGAGCTAGTTCAGGTATAGCAACATTCTTTTGTTCCACTTGGTGAAGGCTGCAGTCTGATCAAGCTGCAATTTTGATATTATTTATGACTAATTTTAGAATAAATGTGTGATATTAGCTCCACGAATAAGGTTTAGATTCGATATTTTGAATGCACGGTTGACCTAATATCCACCGAAATGACTCGTGTTGCACGTAAGAAAGATTCTACAGTTATTGCTTACTGAAAAATTAAGATCTTAAGGGTTTTGTAACGGCTTATGTCCACGATTTGGATCAGGATTCTGTATCTAGATTTAGTACCTGATGGTCTCGGCATACCCTTACACACGTTCATCATAGCACGCTTAACCATGGAGTTCTTATGTTTAAGCCATCGAAAAAAGGTGTACCTTGTTAGTATAGATTGTGACTTTCAATTCCTTTAAGTCCTTCTTAGTCATTATATCTTCGGGGTTGTTCTTATTTAAATGTGGTTTTGGTTCATTTATATATCTCTCTTTTACTCGGGTGTCGTAGGTTTTGACTTTTCGATTTAATTTGAACATCAATCTTACTTATATTGTGATTATATTAGAGCTTGGACTCAGCCCTTTGATTTCAAACTTCGATAGTTAAACTAATCATGCTTTGGTAAGAATATAAATTCAAAGATAAACATGCGAATAGATTATATTAAAGTAGAGATCGCCACATTTTTACTCAACATTGACCCATTATGTAACGTTGACAGCCTCATGATTTTAAAACGTGTTACTAAGGAGAGCTTTCCACACCCTTATAAGGAATGTGAACAATCCACTTTTCTTGGAGGCCCAATGTTCATGCTAACACGCCATCCACGTGTCTAGCTCTAACAGCCCAAGCCCACCATTAGCACATATTATCTGTTTTGCCCTGTTACGTATCGTCGTCAACCTCACAGTTTTAAAACATGTCTATTAAGGAGAGCTTTCCACACCCTTACAAGAAATGTGAACAGTCCACTCTTCTCGGAGGCCCAATGTTCACGCTGACACACCATATGGTGTCTGGCTCTTATACCATTTGTAACAGTCCAAGCCCACCATTAGCATATATTGTCTGTTTTGGCCCATTACGTATCGTGGTCAACCTCACAGTTTTAAAACTCGTTTACCACACCCTTATAAAGAATGTTTCGTTTCCGTCTCCAACCAACGTGGGATCTCACACAGACTATCTCATATTTGAAGTTAGATAACGATCAAATCATCACGTTAAGGTTAAGTTACAAACTATTTAGAATCGTTTTACAAACTTCAAAGCTAGTTCAAAAGGTGCCTAAGTAAATTAGACAACACAAATCATTACAAATTTTAAATTAAAATGGCTAAATCATCCCCTAATATCCAAACCCTAAACAATTAAACGACAATAATCCAAATAATTAAAAATATTGTATGGTTTTTATGTTGTTTTGGACCATTCCCATTTCCAGATTCCATCAACGAATCATCCCTCTTTCTCCTTCTCCTTCTCCTCAACGTCTATCTCCAAATTCTTTCCACTCTTTTTCTTTTCTCTCTTCCCGAGGCCTTACCTTCATTTCAACACCAAAACTCCCACACCCTCTTCGATTTTCTTCCATTCTTACCCATTTCCTCCCAATCATTGTACTTCATCTCTGTGCTCTTCGTCGCCTCTGATTATAATCCATGTAATGTCTCTTTCTCCGCTGCTTTTTCTGTTGTTAGATTGTGTTTCTATTATCGTATCGGCTGTTTGTTTGGTGGGTTTTTTTAGTCAATTTGTGAATGATTTGTGGGTTTGAAGTTTTTTATGGATTGGATGATATTTAGGGTCGATTGTCGAACTGGGTTTGTGGTATGGGTTTCGATCGAGATAAGAACACAATGATCTCAGGTGAGTGGAGTGTGAATCTTTTGTGTTCCTTGATTATGAAGCTGAAGGGAAATAATGGGTTTGTTTTTTCCTCTTCCATGGAGGTTGATCTTGCTGTTTGGTTCTGTTTTTCGTTGTGGGATTTTATGTTTCTGGATGATTTTGTTGGCTTTATCTGTTGGGGTTTGAGTTTTGGTCGTTGTTGTGCTCGATAATCTCTTTTTTCTGTGTTCATGGAGAGAGTATTGCTATATGGAGTATTTGTTTATGGTAAGGACATGCAGAATCTTTGGTTGCTTGTGGTCTCGTGCATGATCATTGTGTTTTTCTTTGATGAAACCCTACGTTTTCATTGAGAGAAGTGTAAGAATAGGAGCAACCGAAAAATGGTGAGATCGCACATTGGTTGGGGAGGAGAACAAAATACTCTTTATAAGGGTTTGGAAACCTCTCCCTAGCAGACAAATATCTGCTAGCGGTGGGCTTGGACTGTTACAAATGGTATTAGAGCCAGACAATGGGCGATGTGCCAGCGAGGAGGCTGAGCACCGAAGGAGGTGGACATGAGGTGATGTGTCAGCGAGGAGTCTGAGCTCCGAAGGGGGTGGACATGAGGCGATGTGTCAGCAAGGTAATGGGCCCTGAACGGGGTGGATTGTAGATCCCACATCGGTTGGGGAAGAGAACGAAACACCCTTTATAAGGGTGTGGAAACCTCTCTCTAGCAAGCAAGGAGGTTGACCCCCGAAGGGGGTGGATATGAGATAATGTGTCAGCAAGGAGGCTGAGCTCTGAAGAAGGGTGGACATGAGACGTGTGCCAGCAAGGACGCTGGGCACCGAAGGGGGTAGGTCGTGAGATCTCACATCGGTTGGGGAAGAGAACGAAACACCCTTTTGGGTGTGGAAACCTCTCCCTAGCAAGCGAGGAGGTTGAGCCTCAAATGTGGTGGATATGAGACGATGTGTCAGCAAGGAGGCTGAGCTCTGAAGAAGGGTGGACATGAGACGATGTGCCAGCAAGGACGCTGGGCCCCAAAGGGGGTAGGTTGTGAGATCCCACATCAGTTGGGGAAGAGAACAAAACACCCTTTATAAGGGTGTGGAAACCTCTCTCTAACAAGCGAGGAGGTTGAGCTCCGAAGGGGGTGAACATGAGGCGATGTGTCAGCAAGGAGGCTAAGCCCTGAAGAAGGGTGGACATGAGGCGATGTGCTAGCAAGGACGTTGGTCTTGAAGGGGGTAGATTGTGAAATCCCACATCAATTGGGGAAGAGAACGGAACACCCTTTATAAGGGTGTGGAAACCTCTCCTTAGCAAACGCGTACTCGAAAGGGAAAGCCCAAATTAGACAATATCTGCTAGCGGCGAGTTGCTCAAGACATAGTAAACTTTTATGTTATTTTCTTAACAAAATATATTTTATCCGATTTATAATTTCCACGATGAACTTCGTCTTTCTTGGATGAGCAGAATATTTCTGTCATTGTTTCGAGTTTTGACTTGTAAATACGTGTTTCTCTTGTTCTTAAACGTTCGAAGTTGGGATTACGTTTCTACGGAACAATCGAACTGAGGTTTATTCACCCTCTTATTACTCATTTTCTTTGATCAAATCCAATAAATGTTTCTTTTTGTAATCTCTTAAAAAGATTGTAAACTAAGATTATGTTTCTCAGTCTTCAGCAGGATTTTGGATCATGGAATGATGTGGTTTCAGTGCTGATAAATTACCAATATGGTTGGTGGTGAAGAAAATGACTTGAATGATGCAAGTTTCTCGAACAACAAAGGAACTCCACGCCGAGATGTTGTAGCCATTTTGTCGTCTTCATCGTCTTTGTCATCGTCTTCATCCGAGAATGAGTTACGCAAGACAAGGAACGAGAATGACCAATCTCAATGTAATGACAACGCGTCTCATGAACTGGTACTATACAACCCTCCTGCAGGTGATGGAGCTGCAAACGAACCCATATCGCCACCTATTGAGCACCGACGTCCATCATTACTTGGACACTTCACTCCCAAATCTTCCAGAGTTATGCTCTCAGTAGGGGCCTTTACTATTCAGTGTGCTAGCTGTTTTAAATGGAGGCTCATTCCAACAAAGGAAAAGTACGAGGAAATACGTGAACATCTGTTGGAACAACCTTTTTACTGTGAATATGCTTGTGAGTGGCGGCCTGATATCTCTTGTGATGTGCTGACATTACTCAAGATGGAAGTAGGCTTTGGGCGATTGACAAGCCTAATATAGCACGGCCCCCTCTTGGCTGGCAAAGGCAATTACACATCAGAGGTGAAGGAAGCACCAAGTTTGCTGATGTGTATGTACTTTGAACTCTGTATTATCACTGCTTTGTGTGTGTTTTGTTACCTATTCGTGTCGTTAGTTAGATTTGGACTGCTGCCATCACTCTCGTCGTCTCTGAAATTCATATTCTTAGATTTTACGGGGTTTTTTTTCTTTTTTTTTTTTTGAATTGTTGTGAGATCTGACATCGGGTAGGGAGGAGAATGAAGCATTCTTTATAAGAGTGTGGAAATCTCTCCCTAGCAGACGCGTTTTGAAAACCTTGAGGGGAAGCCTGAAAGGGAATGCCCAAAAAGGACAATATCTGCTAGCGGTGAGCTTGGGCTGTTACAAATGGTATCAGAGGCAGACACTTGGCGATGTGCCAGCGAAGATGCTGAGCCTTGAAGGGGGTGGACACGAGGCGGTGTGCCAACAAGGATGTTGGGCCTCGAAGGGGGATGGATTGGGGAGGTCCCACGTCGATTGGAAAATGGAATGAGTGCCAGTGAGGATGCTAGGCCTCGAAGAGGGGTGGATTTGGGACCGGAACGAGTGCCAGTGAGGACATTGGGCCCTGAAGGGGGGTGGATTGGTGGATTGGTGGATCATACCAATCAAATCACTTCTTTTAAATTTGAATGAAAATTTCATTATTAGTTGTGAGATCCCACATACATTGGAGAGGAGAACGAAACACCCTTTATAAGGGTGTGGAAACCTCTCCCTAACAGACGCGTTTTAAAAACTTTGAGGGGAAACCCGAAAGGGAAAGTCCAAAGAGGACAACATTTGCCAGTAGTGGGCTTCGACTATTATAAATGGTATCAGTGCTAGACACCTGGCAATGTGCAAGGACGCTGAACCCCGAAGGGGGGGGGGGGACAAGGCG